TCCGATCCGCCGCGGCTGGTGAGAATTGGCTAGCTTGTTTGAGATAGCTAGTTTCATCCCTTGTAGGCCAAATTGAACAGCTTTAGAGAGCTGCCAAATGGGCTGAAAGGACAGTAAATTACAAAAGCTACCATTTTAAGCCCGCGAGATAACATGACACTTGATGTTGCTTCCTGTTCATGGGAGGCCAAACTGAGCATTCTAATGATAAAAACTCTCTTTATTTTTTCATTGATATTGCATGCCCTTGCTGTTGACTTTTGTTGGTATTGATGTTTATCAGGATTCCGATCATAGCGGAATGATAGAATCACTCCCTAATCGATTTATTTATCTTTCCTGAATGAATTGGAAGTTCTGCATTCCCAATGGCAGACCTGGGTTTGTGATTGCTACCACCAAGTAGCTGCTTTCAACTTTGAGTTTTATGAGGCACTAATTTAACATTTTTTTCTTCATGCATCTCCATACAAAGATGGTTTTTACGGACTTGAGCCAATTGAGATAGTCTTCAATATGCATGTGCCCAACTTAACGTTGAAGTGTTGCTGCGTAATGACGGGTGTTGATTACATCTTGAGGACAGCATCTGTTTGTAATTTCGAAACTTTGCACTTCTGAAAATGTTTTGATGAAGTATCAAATATGACCTAGCTGCATTTTTGAATTGTACTTCATGCTGCGACCTTTCACTGGGTTGAGATGTTTTCTTGGAGAAGCTTTTTGAATGTCCTAGTTTGGTAGGCGATGGTCTTGTTTGGTAAACGAGATGTTCTTTTAGTTATTGATGATGTTTCTCCATTTCATTAATAGCAAGAATATTTTCTATTGTTCAGGGAGGTGAACGTATTGAGGGTTCCGCAGGGCCTGCACAATGAGATTTTTCATCTGTGTTGCGATGTCCATTGCCTCCATTGTCAATCATCACTCGGGCTTTGATATTGGTGCAGGGATTGGTAAAAATAGAAAGTAGATTGTAGAGGAAGGATTCTTCTTGACTGGAGCTGGGCAATTGGAAAGGAAGATACAAAGACACCTGGATATAATTGTTCTAGCTGTTTTCATTGGCCAATATTATCATTACCATATATGTTGGCAACAACCTCTTTCAAAGGGCAGCTGAGGAGTCCGATTTT